AGGTTTTTTTTTTTTTTTTATGGGATATATGTGGCAAAAATAAAAGGCAAAAAAATCACTACCATATTATCCCTTGGTCCTGTGGTTTTTAGCTGGTCTTCTCTCCACCATTCAGAACCGTCTTATATTTGTTTCATACATAAGGAATTTTTGTTGTACTTAGTGAGATACATAGGGAAAAGTACATCTGCTCCACAGTAGGTGATAGTAGGTGATCCAGAAGATGACCTCCACTAGAATTTTGGCACATATTATTTCTTAATAGGATGTTAAACTCTTGATTGTCAAATTGGCAACACAAGGTATCCCCATACCACTTTGTTGGCAGAAAATGTAAATGATGCTAAACTCTGCTTTGCAATAACCATCAACGCTGTAGAGAGAAGTCATATTAATGGAGGAATACTCATGAGTTAGCAGCCCAGCCATCATACTAAAATTTTAACTCCTGGATCAAGTCAGACTATCAAAGATATACATTTGTGGTCCCTCAGAAAAATTCTTACACTAAATATGTTATGGTAGTATATTGGGCCCATGCTGAGGAACATGGTAAGAAACAAATGTACAAGTTATTTAAAGTTAATCAATTCGTAGGGATGCTAGTGAGCGTGATGTTCACTACATCTCCAAGTATTCCTTTATGAAGACAATGGAAGAATTTCCCTCATCTTTGTACCACACGAAGCTGAATAACTGATCTATTTTTATAATTTGAAAGTTATAAATCCAATGGCTTCCTTTGTGCTGGCTTCCAGGAAGCTCAGTCAAATTTGGTAACCCCACCAGTGCCTTATGGATAGAATTTGCATATGGGCCTTATCCCTGAATTTATTTTATTTTTAAGTTGAGATTTTATTTTTACCCAGATTTCCTCATTTTATTTTTATTTTGTCTCCTGTAGCATGGTATTCATTTTCATATCCCATCACATTTATTTTAGAAACAGATGGATGAATGAATACATTAAAAAAAGAGAGAGAGAGGTTCTGTAAGTACTTGATAGGAGAGAAATGGACCTTAAGTTTACTTTCTATTCATAATGATGCTGCTGTTTGTGGTTAGTTGCTGTTGAGTTCAATTCAACTTATGGCGACCTCAGGTGTAGAGGGCAGAACCACTCCATAGAGTTTTCAAGGCTGTGGCCTGTTGGAAGCAGATGACCAGGCTTGTATTCTGAGATACTGCTGGATGAGTTTGAAATGTTAACCTTTTGGGTGGTAGTCAAGTCCTTAACTGTTTGTGCCACCCAGAGACTTCTTCTCTACTAATAATAGGTACTTAGTGAGTGTTACCGTTTTTGATCCCACATTGCCTATTTCTTAAGAGGCCCTACAAGAATATATTTGCTGTCACGTAATTTACAGTTCATTTTCTCACATAACTTTTTAAAGGAACAAATGAACACAAGTACTACCTGTAGGACTGAAGCACCACTGTGGAGAAACTGGAGACCACTTTCAGCTGAGTCAATTCCACCAGTGGCTAAAATGGGAAATCCAGGCAAAGCACGAGCAATGGAGGTCACAGCTCTCAAAGCAATGGGTCTGATGGCTGTCCCTAAAGAAGATGAGAATGAGCAACTGTTAGCATACCGATCCCTTGAACATACTGCCTTATACATAGTATCATGTGATGGCAGTGTTGTACTAGCCAAAATTCAAATTTCTATTATATCTGTTTAAAACGTACAGCTATGTAATACATAAATGTTCTTAAGTTTCAGAGTATGCTAATTTGCAAACGAACATGTATTTATTTTAAGAACTTCAATGTTATTATTGCATGCAGATGTGTTAGGCAAGTGGGTGTAGCAACCCTGAAATTCTCACATAAAATACATTCATATTACATTTTGATATACAATAATGTGTAAAAAATTGTATGGAACAATCAAGCATCTGTATTTAAAAAAGAACAAGGAACAGCAGATTTTGAAAAAGAAAAAAAACCACATATAGCACAACAAGACATATAGCTCTGTTAGGTTTCCACAAAGTATAAAGCAGCTGGTGTGAATATAGATATAGTAATAACAAGCAAGGTGTCAATGAACGTACAGGCTCCATATTGCTTTGTACATGTATTCCTGCAATTTGTTGAACCACAGTGAACCTGCTCTAATTTTTCATGTATTAAAGAATTCTAACCAAGTGAAACAGTATTTACTAGAATCCAGTAATTACAGTATATATTTACTTTTTAGGAGCTCTGGTAGCATGGTGCCTAAGGCACTTGACTGCTCACCAGAAGGCTGGTGGTTCAAACCCACCAGCCACTCCTCGGAAGGAAGGTTGGGCAATCCTACTTCCGTAGTGATACTGCCTTGGAAACCCAAGGAGGGGTCGCTATGAGTCGGGGCTGACTCGACGGCAAACAACAACAGCAACAACATTTACTTTTTATACTTTATTTGGAAAATACTAGTAATATATATTCTCTGATAGTAATGATAATTCCATAGATGGACAGAATATTTTGAGGTCATTGTTGAATGATTCTACTGTACAAAAGCTATTTTAGAATTTCAAGGGTTAAACATCCTGGAGTAAATTAATAGTGGCAAAATATGGGAATATTATTTGACATTGCTGGTGTATATCTACAAGCCAGTAGTCCTTTAAAGACATTTCATGAATTCAAAGTAGTTCTATTTGTGCAAGAACTTGACACTGACTCAAACCAGGGCTCCACATACAAGATGATGAATAGGCAGCTGGTGAGATCAACCTCATATGTTGAATACTTTCTCATCACCTCTAGCATTATCATAGGAACATATTCACTAGCATTATCAATTCATAGATACTGCTGTTCTCACTTCAAGGAAGCACAAAACTTTAATTTCAATTGATGTCTGTTTATCTGTTTATATCCATTCCAGATGAACTTGAATCTATAGGTAACTGATAGTTTTGCACTCATATCTAGAAAAGCTACCTCAAGATATTAGTGTTTTTTAGTCAAGAATTGTCATGGCTGACACCTCAGATTATGTAACTGGTATTTATCTAACGAGGTATTAAGTTAGGACAAATTATGTCAAGATTCCATTTCTATCTCAAGATTATAATTACTTCATACTTTTTATATTTTAACCATAAGGAAAATTAACACAGAGAACATACACATAAGCACATACACACCTATATACACATATCTTTAGCTATATGTATAAAAAGAAATCCAAGTAAGAATAAAAGTTACAGCAAAACATTTTAAAAGAAATCTGTAACATACCTAGTTAGAAAGACAGCTATATCTGCATAATAAAACTGACATGCTGAGTACATACTAAGCTGATGACTTCTTTACATACATGCTCCTTTGAAGTAATAAGAAGTATTAGTATTCGCCCCCCCACCCTTACTTAGTTGACCCAAGAGAATAAAGGAAATTTGAGCTAAGGAGATTAATAATTTATTTCTAACTGCACTGTTACAAGACTATCATTAACACTAAGGGGTAAAATTTCAAAGTGGTACACAGGGATTTGGCCGCATATTCTAACTGATATTAATGGACATCAAATGGTAAAATCCCAGAACACAGCTTTGAAAATTTAACCAGTTACATTTAAAGGGCAACATTATTACACAGGTATTAAAAAACATCAGCAAATCCTCAGTGGCATTTGAAGATGTTCAATTAGGTCAATAAGACATTTTCTTTTTCATGTTCCTCTGCCTTTTCTAAAACTTTTAACATCTACCTAATGAACATGAAAACCTTTCAAACTAATAAAAGTAACTTTTTTAAAAATTAAGAGTAATTATGCTTTCTAAGGAAATGTGATTCAAAAATAAAGAAATGGATTTATTTTGTTGCTGGGCAATAGTAAATTCAATTTTTATTTGCATTCTAAACTACATTTTATTTTTAAAGATAATTCAAGTGACTTAACATAGGAAATAGATTTTTTTTAATCTACCATGAATGGTCATTTATAAAGAGATTTCTTTTTAATTTTAAAATTATAGAAATGACAAAATCTTTATAATGAAAATGAAAGATCTACTGTAAAGAAAATAGATGTATTAATACCATGTTGTTGTTGTTGTTATTTGCCATCGAGTCGGCCCCGACGCATATGCATAAAGACTTCCAGAATCATAGTTTTAAAATTTTATCACTGTTATAGTGATGAATGATTTCAGACCACTGACTGATGATATGGATTGAACTGTATCCTCTCAAAACATGTGTTCTAAATTCAAAGCCTCCATACGTGTTGATGGGAGCTCTGGTAGCATAGTGCTTAAGGCACTTGACTGCTAACCAGAAGGCTGGCAGTTCAAACCCATCAGCCACTCCTAGGGAAGAAGATGAGGCAATGTACTTCCATAGTGATACTGCCCTGGAAACCCAAGGAGTGGTCACTATGAGTCGGTCCAATTCAATGGCTCATACAACAACAACAACATACATGTTGATGTAATGCCATCTGGTAACAGAATTTTCTTTGTTATGTTAATGAGGGCATATCAAGGTAGGGTGTGTTCTGAGCCAATCACTTTTGAGATGTAAAAGAAGATACACTTCATACAGAGGCACAGAAGCAAAGACAAACAGTGAAGATAGATGTCACATGCAGATCACCAAGGAATTAAGGACCAGAGGCTGAAAGAGACAAAAACCTTGCCCCAGAGTTCACAGAAAGAGAGCTTTCCCCAAGAGCCCTGCATTTAAACTTTCAGCTTCCTATGCTCTGAGAAAACAAATTTCAGTTCATTAAATCACCCACTTATGGTATTTCTGTTTCTACAGCACTAAGAAACTAAGATAACCTGGGAGAAAGGATTCTGTTTGAGAGATTCAAGAAATGTGAGTATGGATTCCATCTTTAATGCAACAACAGGTTTAAATGAAGAAATAGAAATCCTATCAGCTTAAATGAGCTAATAGGCCACAAAACCAAACCAAAACCACATGCTATCTAAATTAAGTCCTCATCTATGTGGGGTGGCCAAATGAACATAATGGGAAACTCAGTGACATCAAGCCACTGTCCTCTAACTGTGTGAAATTCTCCAACAGAAACCAAGACAATGTGTGTCCTCACATTTTGAAACAAGCTACAGGTTTAAACAAACAAAACAAATAGAGAATGAGTTCCAATATTGCTGCCAAGGATTCTGATTTACACTAAAATGGTCCTGGTGGAAACCAGCAGAGTAGACTGAAATGTAATTTTTATTCTTTAATAACTCTCAGCCTATCACATAATCTTAAAATACAAATCAATGTGCTGAATTCATAGATCTTCTCTGATAAACTGCAGGTACACTTTTGGATTGATTCATTTACCAGAAAAACATTTTAAAGCCAGCTATTTTGAATAATCAATCTTAATTTGATTAAAGATTATTGTTAAGAAAATGATACCATCACTTCTCAAATACATAGTGCCTAAGGCACTTGACTGCTAACCAGAAGGCTGGTGGGTCAAACCTACCAGCCACTCCTCGGAAGGAAGGTTGGGCAATCTATTTCTGTATTGATATTGCCTTGGAAACCCAAGGAGGGGTCTCTATGAGTTGGGTCCAACTCGACAGCACATAACAACAATAACCATTGGAAATAGTATTATGTATTCATATATGTATTAATGCATTATGACTTAATCAGGTTCTTTACTTGGTATTTCTTTATTCATCCATCCATCTATAAATTCAAAAATATATTTATTAAGACTCTATGTCTTTTATGTTTTTTTTAAAAAAATGTTTGTACCTGAATCTGAAAAATTTAAAAGAATTATTCTAATTAATAAATCTATTTCCCAGGATGGATATCCAAAACACCAGAGGTGGTTATTGTAAGATAAAGAATATGAATCCAATTATTCAACTTATACAAGGTTTCTACTAGAAAAAAAAATAACTTTGGCTTGAAAATAAAACTTTGAATAAATAAAAATGTTACTAATTTCAATAATCTCATATGCACTGAAAGCTGGACAATGGATAAGGAAGACTGAAGATGCATTGATGCATTTAAATTGTGGTGCTGGGGAAGAATACTGAAAATACCGTGGACTTCCAGAAGAATGAACAAATCTATCTTAGAGGAAGTACAATTGGAATGCTCCTTAGATGTGAGAATGGTCAGACTTCGTCTCACATACTTCTCCAGGACCAGTCCCTGGAGAAGGTTATCATGCTTGTTAAAGTAGAGGGTCAGTAAAAAAAGAGAAAGACCCTCAATGAGATAGATTGACAGAGTGGCTGCAATGACAGGCTCAAGCATAGCAAAAATTATGAGGGTGGTACAGGACCAGGCATCCTGTCATTCTGTTACATGGGGTTACTGTGAGTTGGAGGTGACAATGGTGCCTAACAACAATGACAATCTTTCTATCTATCTACCTATCTATCAACAGAAATATGAATTCTACAAAGAATACAAGTTTAAAGTGAATTAATTATGACATCAGACAGACACTGGGTCAAATAGCTTAGGTTCAGATCCACTAATTACAAGCTGTATGGCCTTAAGAAAATGTTTTCACCTCATTGTATGTCAGTTTCGACACCTATATGATAATAAAAATTATAATA